AGGCCACGGGGGTGTCCGACGTGAGCGAGGTGATTGAGAAGTTCCTCACGCAGGAGACGACGCACAGGAACCTGGAGCAGATGACTGCCGAGGCACAGGCCGACATCGACAAGCTCACGGCCAAGAAACGCGAGGCGCACGAGCGCATGCAGCGGCTCAAGTACAGCGCCGAGGCGGGCGAGGAGCCGCCGCAAGTGGCGTCGCCCGAGCCTGCGGGCCGCACGCACGAGCGGCACCGGCACCGGCACGAGCGGCTGGCCAAGGTGCTCGTCGCGATCAAGGCGGGGGTCGAGCATCTCGCCGACCGTCTCGATGGGGTCGACATCGAGGAGGCGCGGCTGGCGCTCACAGAGGACAACATGGTGGAGGTGCTCCACCAGTGCGAGAAGAAGCTGCGGCGGGTGATTGACGCCATTCGAGAGGAGGAGGAGGCGATGGTGCGAGAGATGGGTCAGTCCACTCTCAAGGCGCGGCCGGACATGCCGTCGGAGCCGATGGCCGCCAATAATTGCCGCATTGGCGACGTGGATGGCGAGGACGTCGATTCGGAGGAGGAGTACGAGGAGGATCTGGAAGAGGAGGTATTTGACCGCGACGCTCTCAAAGAGCAGTCGCGAGGCATGCTCGACATGGCGAGCAAAAAGCGGACGAAGAAGAGGAGGGCCAACGGCAACTAGCGCGTATGGTGTCGGCGTCGCTGGTTTCTAGCTCGTTGGACGCATCAGCCTGGACGGCGAGCTGGATGGAGAGGAGGGCGGGAGATCTGTTATAAAGGGTGTTCATTATCAACCCCGATCCGCCGCACATCTCGTGCACTCCTTGAGCGGTCTCGCGCGCCGGCGCGCCCCCGTCTCAGCTCTCACTCTCAGCTCTCACCCCGGCGTGCAGGGCCGAGATAATAGGTTATAGCTTATTGCGCGCCGAGCGGGGGTCTCCGGTTTTTTTGCGTAATGCGAGAAATGTGAGTTGTGAGTGTCAGTGGTGTGTGATCTTATGCAGGGCATCTTATCGTTCACAGCGCCCCCCCAACAACAAGCAGCGGACATGCAGGGTACGGCTAACTAACATGCGCACGTCACACCAGGTTCGCCTCGAACAGATTCGCCACGGCTAACGCCACACGCGCGCCACATCACGCTCCCTTGCTCCGTGGCTGGTACTGGAAGAAGGAGAAGGCGGTGTTTTGGCGGAGCGAGGTCTGCATCGCCTCGTAGAGACGCAGCCCCTCCTCGCGGTACACCTGGATCGGGTCGGTGCCAGAGTACGCCTTGAGGCCCGCAAAGTCCTTGACGTACCCCATCGCCTTCATGTGCGCCTTCCAGAGCGTGTCCGTCTGCGTCAGCGCGAGGAAGCGGCCGGACTCGACCGCAAGACCCGGCCGGACGCTGTCCAGCTCGGCTGCCTTGGCGCGCAACGCCTCCTGCACCGCCGCATGCGCGCGCTCCTCGGCGCCGTCGCCCTCGAGGTCGGCGGCGGTGAGCGGCACCGCGGGGAAGAACTGCTGCAGCTTGGCGAGGGTCGCCTCTGCGCCCGACGCATCCAGGTTGCTCTTCAGGATGTCGGAGGCGGTGCCGGCCGCGTGGGCGGCGAGGGTGTCGAGCACCTCGTCGGCCGAGCCGCGCAGCACCGCGGCGCGGGTCCGGTAGGTGTCCTCCCTCTGGACGGCGAGCACCTGGGGGGGTGGGGGTGGTGGGGGTGGGGGCAGCGGGTGGGGGGGGGAGGGCGCAGCGCGGGGGGGGGGGGGTTGTTGCAGCGGCGCCTCCTCGAACTCGAAAAGCTTCTGGCGGAGCTCGTAGTAGTAGCGCTCGACCTTGGGCTGGGTCTCCTCCACCACCCGCTGCACCTGCCCCGACTCGAGGGGCTGGTCCTCGGAGATGCGCATGAAGTCGAGCAGCCCCTTGATCTTGTCGCCGCCGAAGAGGCGGAAGATGCGGTCCTCGAGCGAGAGGAAGAAGTGCGTCGAGCCCGGGTCGCCCTGCCGGCCCGCGCGGCCGCGCAGCTGACCGTCGATCCGGCGCGAGTCGTGCAAGTTCGTGCCGATGACGTGCAGCCCTCCCGCCTGCAGCACCCGCTCCTTCTCCGGCGCGAGCTCCTCGGCGAACTCTTCGCCGACCGCCTCGAGCGCCTCGCGCGCCTCGTCCTCGACCGACTCCTCGAACACCGCCGCCGATGAGGCCGCCACCGCGAGCAGCTCGTCCAGCGCCTAGGCGGAGAGGACCCACGCGACGCTCAGGGAAGCCTCCACGAAAGTGCCACGGCGAGCAGCCCTCGTCCGGCGCCGCGAGCTCCGCCCGCTCGTGACCCTCGGCGTCGTCGTCCGCCGCCGCCGCCGCGCGCGACTGGGCGAAGCGCGCCGCCGCGCGGCCGACAGCGGCCTCCGCCTCCTCCGACACAGCGCGCGGGAAGAAGCCGTCGCGAGGCGGCGTGACGCCGGACAGGCCGGCGGCGGCGGCGAAGGCGGTGCGCAGGTAGAGGCGGGCCATGAAGGCGGGGTTGCCGCCGAGCAGGATGTCGGTGCCGCGCCCAGCCATGTTTGTCGAGATAGTGACGGAGCCCTCGCGGCCGGCCTGGGCGACCACCTCCGCCTCGCGCTGCGCCGCCTCGGGCGCCGCGGAGAGGACCTGCGGGGGGGGGGGGGGGGGAATCCGGAAAGGGGGGGGGGGGGAAGTGGAAGAACAAGGGAAGAGGAGGGAGGGGGGAACCGAAGAAGAAAAGTGGGGAAACCGGAGGAAACCGGAAACGGAGGGGAAAATGGGAGGAGGCCAAGCCAGGGTTTCCAATCTCCCCTCGGGGTTGACCCCCAGCTCGGTCAGCTTGTCCCAAAAAACCTGAAACCCCCCCACCGAAGTGGTCCCAACCAGAATCGGCCGGCCGCTCCTCCGCAGCGAGAGCAGCTCGGCGAGCGCCGCGTTGGACTTCCCGCGCGTCGTCTTGAAGACCTGCGGCCGCGGCTCCGGCCAAGCGCTCAGGAGCTAGCTGCCCGGCAGGGTCTAAAAAAGGGTCCGGGTTCGGGAGTCACAGAGTCTGGGATGTCGGAGCGCAGCGACGGGAGGACGGGCGGCACGTCGACCACGTCGAGGCCGTAGATGGTCGCGAACTCCTCTGCCTCGGAGAGGGCGGTGCCCGACATGGAGGAGAGCTTGCGGAAGCGGCGGAAGAGCGACTGGTAGGTTACAGACGCGACCACCTCCGTCTCCGGCTGCACCATCAGCCCCTCCTTGGCCTCGACCGCCTGGTGCAGCCCGTCGCCCCACCGGCGCCCCTCCATCACGCGGCCGGAGAACTCGTCGATGATGACCGCCTCGCCGCCCTGCACGAGGTAGGACCGCTCCTTGACGAAGAGCTCCTTCGCCTTGAGGGCGTTCGACACGTACGACGCCCACGGGTTGGTCGGCTCGTACAGGTCGCCCACCGCGAGCGCCTGTGAACAGCTCACGCCGTGAAGAGGCGAAGTGCGCAGCGGTGGTCGCGCCTCCCGCCGCGAGAACCTTTTCGCAATCGCGCGTGCCCTTGTCGGTCAGCGAGACCGTCTGCTCCTTCTCGAAAACGTCGTAGTGAATCCCGCGCTCGAGCACCGCCGCCAGCTTGCTCGCCGCGCCTAGTCGGTGACCACACCGCCCTGTGCGAGCGAGGACAGCAGATGCACGCCGCCGCCCGCTCGCCGCGCCGAACTTGTCGACCGGAGCGTCCGTCTTGCCGGAGATGATGAGGGGCACGCGCGCCTGCAGATAGGGGGAGATAGGGGGAGATAGGGGGAGATGAGGAGCGGCACGCGCGCCCGGAGATGCAGCCGAGATGAGCCGAGAGGTAGCCGAAGTTCGTCTTGCCGGAGATGGCGAGCGGCGCGCGCGCCTCGTCGATCAGCACCGAGTCGCCCTCGTCAACAACGCAGTAGTTGAGCTCGCGCCGAAGCACCACCTGAGCCATGCAGCGGCCCCCGCACCGTGTGAGCACCGTGTGAGTGAGCAGTGGTGTAGCAGCAGCACAACCCCGCAGCGCGCGCGCCTCCTCCGCAGTCACGGCCAGGTTGTCGCGGAGATAGTCGAAGCCTACAGACAAAGCAATGCGGCCTCCGGAAACAAGAACTGTGACAAGGCGGGGTTGTCGCGGAGGCAGTCGAGGCCGAGCTCCGAGTTGGTCACATACGTCACGTCGCTCGCGTACGCCTCCCGCCGCGCCGCCGTGTCGGAGCCGGACTGGACGAGGCCGACACTCAGCCCGAGGAAGGCGTACACCTGCCGTGCGGTCGGGACGGGCCGTGAGCAGCAGGACGGCAGGAGGAGGAGGAGCGGAGGAGGCGGAGCAGCGCGCGCTCGAGGAGCAGAGTGGAGGAGCAGGGGCAGGGGGGGGGGGCGGACCTGGCCCATCCCCTCGGCGTCGCGCCGGGCGAGGTAGTCGTTGACCGTCACCACCATCGCGCCCTTCCCGCTTAGCGCGTTGAGGTACACCGCCCCAGTCGCCACCAAGGTCTTTCCCTCGCCGGTGCCCATCTGCGCCAGCTTGCCGTCGTTCAGCGCCATCGCGCCGACGAGCTGCACGTCGTAGTGGCGGAGGTCGAGCGTGCGCCAGGCAGCCTCGCGCACCACAGCGAACGCCTCCTCGAGCAGCTCCTCCTCCGTCTCGCCCGCCGCGAGCCGCTTCCGGAACTCGGCCGTCTTGGCGGCCAGCGCCTCGTCCTCGAGCGCCTCAATCTCGTCCTCGAGGTCGTTGATGCGAGCGACCCGCTCGGTGTACGCCATCACCGTCCGATCGTTTGCCGCCGTGAAGGCGGCCGTCTTTGGGTCACTTTTGCTGTCGCTCGCCTGCTCGCCGCCACCGCGGATGGCCTCGCTCACCTGGTCGAGCACGCCCATCGCCGCGCTCGCCGTGCGCGTGGGCGACGCCACGGCAGGACGCTGGTGCGTGCACACGCGCACGGCGGGTGCTAGCGGCAGGTAGGCGGTGGACCCGCCGACGAGCAGCGACGCCAGCGCGGCCAGCATTCTGCCTAGAGACGATTCAGTGAAAACGCAAGTACAGCAAAAGAATTCATTGGTGCAAGGAAAGAAAGAGAGGGGGGCTCGCGATGACGAGTGAACTACAGGTAGTGGGGAAGGCAGCCTCGATTGCCATACAGACATGGGTGCGAAACAACGACAAGACCAAGGCACGGGCAGAGGAACGAGAGAAGAATATAGGGTGGATAAAGCGCCTGTTCACGGCATGGAGGGTGAGCCACACCGGACGTACCGAGCGAAGAGCCGAGCGGAAGGAAGCCGGGGAAGATGACTCCGAGGAGGACGAACCAGTGGAAATCCAGTTGTCAGATGTCACGATGCATCCGAAGGGGACCCCAGCGCCGGCATCATCCGTAGAGGCAGGTGCCACTCCTCTACATGGACGTCAACCTTGGCCCTGGTACGGCGCTCGTCCCAGCCACCGTTCGCAACAAGGCCAAGCGTCACGCCTCCTTCTACGTCCTCTAGGCAAGACTGGCCGCATTGGCCTTCACGAGGACGACGACCCGCGGCAGCTCGCGCGCAGCTTTGCTCGCACGTACCAGCTCGATGCGATGATGCGCGAGCGGCTGCAGCAGCTCATCGAAAGGTACGAGTCGGGTTGCGGGGAGACGTTTACCGCGCAGCAAGAGACGCATGGGCTGCTCCCGATGGTAGGTACATGGACGAGGTTGTGCCGGGACTTGCGGCCCAGTGCAACGCCGCCCCGTCGACGAGCGACATTTCGTCGGAGGCGGTCGCCGAGGCGCCGTGAGCGTGAGTGCAGGTCGTCGTCACGGTTCGATGGCTGCGCGTACACGCGACGAGCGGCAGCTAAGAATTGACATTCTGTGTAGGCGAACAGAGGCAACAACTTCGCGTGCCGGCTGCTGCCTGTGGAAATTTGCCAACGGTGTTACGGAGCTGGAAGCTGGGAATAGCTGCGCGTTTAGCGCAGCGGTCTGGGGCCCCCTTTGAGCCTCTCGTTTAGCGCGGCCGTGGAGGTCTCAAATATGATCCAAAATGGTGTGCGGTGGTCCAAAATGGTGTGCCAATCTTCGTGGAGACATATATAGACAAAAAAGCGACTGTGACTGTTGCGCTGACCGCTGTGCCGAGACTGGGTGCGGGTGCGGGTCCGCGATCACGGCCGCGCCGCGCACGCTCCGAGCTGCTGCATCACCCATCCTCAGGCTCCACCGCGTCTGTCGGGCGAAGCAGCTCGAGAGCACGCTCCTCGTCTAGCGAGGGGCTTCCGGGTGCCTCGCCTCCGCTAGCACCGCTCTCTCCCCGCCCGCGAGCCAGCCGGGCGACACCAGCAAGCACCTGCAGGCGTCAGGCCCGGAGGTTTTCACGTGCAAGGCGGCGCCCAGGAGAGGCGCGGTCGGCGAACCTTGCTGCCCCACCACACGTTGAGCGAGTTGAGAGCGAGGTTGGCGGCCATAGTGACAAAGACAACGTGCGGTCGCAACCGAGGGTCGCCGGCGCGGAGGAGGGCGATGGAGTCGCTCCACCAAAACACCGACCCCGGCATGCCAAAGCCCCACCTGCGTGGCGGAGGCTTTGTGGGAGAAACGACTCTTCGGGACGTTCTGTGACGAGGCACGCACCGGATGATGAGGAAGGCGGCGGCAAAGCCCACGTTAGCGCAGCTGAAGGTGCGTGTGTGGGTTAAGCGACACGCAATAAGCTGCGAGCGGAGGTTGAGCAGAGGCGTCGAGGCCTCCCAGCAGAGGAAGAAGCAGGCAGCCCGCTGCTGGAAGGGCTGAAGCGCGTGCCAATAAATGAAGAGTCCCGCAGACGCGTGTAACACAAATGGCCAGCCCTGACAGGCGGCGGTGCAGAAGAACACGTCCCACACAAAGAAGGCCGCTGCGATGGCACAGGCCAGGCTGGCGCGGTCAGAAGTGCCGAAGGCCTCGTCGGCAGCCAGCGCATCGCCCGGCCAAAGATACTCTGGCAGCGCGACGAAAACTATCCCCGTCGCGAACAGAGAGCCCACCACGCGCCCGTGCCAGTCTCTCTGCTCTGACGGCGAGAGAGGCCTGTAGTGCGTGGCAAAAAGGCGCGGTGCAACGAGGATGGACGCCACGTGCAAGCCGCAGAAGAGCAACACGAACTTGCCGACGAGGTGTATAGTGGAGGAGACTGGTAGAGGTCGCTCCATGGTCCGGCAAGAGGAAAAGATATCTGTCTCGGTGTGTCTGCGTGTGTGTGCGACGGCGCTTCACTTGAATGGCGTTCGCTTCGGCCGGCCTGCCGCCGCCGGCGCTCAACGCTGCCGCTGCCGAGGGCGCGGCGCGCGGCCGCGACGGCGCGCAAGAGGCCGATGATGGCCAGAGACTCGGCGTGAAGCGCCGCCTCGACGGCGAGCTCGCGAGCGCGCGCGTCAGCAGACGCGAGCGCGCGAGTGTTGAACCGGACGCTCCATAGCAACACTCAAGATACACTCCAAGGGGGGTACACGTTTTCTTTTCGGGTTTCGTGGGTTCCAGTGCACACTTGGAACCGACGAAACCGAAGAGGGTTCGGGCCCCGGGGTGGTTTTATTGCGCGAGCGCCGCACCGATGCCCACAGGCTCCGGCTAATGGCTTATTTTGGGGGGGGGGGGGGTGAGGAGGGGCGGGGGTGTGTCATCGTGATTAGTGTTGTGTTGCGTCGTCAAGCATGGCGTCAAGACACGAGAGCGGTCGTAAGCGCGCGCGCTCGCGCGCGCGCTTCAGCGCTGCGGGGCTTCGCGCGTGCCCGCGTCGGTAGTCGGTGTGTTTTTGTGGATTGTGCGCACAGCGAACTGCGTTACTCATACTGCGATGTTCTTGCCATAGCAGTACGAATATGCCTCACGAACGACACAGAGACACTGCACTTTATAACACGTAACACCCCCGCGAACACAACGGCAGCGGCGGCTCTGTCACAGTTCACAGATGTGAGATTGGCGATTTAGCAACTGTCAGAATCGCTGTCGAGCGGCTGCGAGTCCGGGGACAGGTCTGCCTCGTCGCAGAGCGGGGGCAGTCGCTTCGCCTCGCCGTCCTGAATGATCGTCGCCTCGGCGTGCCGGTCCTCGGGCGCCCTGTACTCAAAGCCGAGCGCGGCGAAGATGTCCGCCTCGCTCTCGGCGGGCACGATGTTGCGCGTTCCTCGAACCTCCTCTCCGCGCGAGTTGATGCCGCCGCGGTTCGCGAGGCCGTGGTCGGAGAGGGAGTACCCCATCTTCTTCGCGTAGAAGCGCATGCTCCGGTTGAAGTGGTCGTTGCCCGTGAAGTAGAGCAGCGCGTACGCAAACTCCTCCCTCGGGTAGACCTTGGGCGGGGGGGGGGGGGGGTAACCCCTTCCGCCTGGGCCCTGGACCAAGACGAGAGCATGGCAGGGGCCCTCACCCTTGAGGACAACCCCCCGTGTGAGGCGTAACCCTCGAGCCGCCCGATGTCCATTTCCGAGAAGCTCTCGCCCAT